GTCATTATATTTTCATATAATATATCCTATAGCATCTATTTTGAAAACACTATATTTAAATCTATTGGATTTAAATGCACTTATTTTTAAAAATATTTTACTTTTATTATTTTTTATTTTTTATGTGTATGCATGTATTGCCTGCATGTAGGTAAGTGTACCCATGTCATGCAATGTCCCCCAGAGGACATTGGAACTGGAGTTAAGGACAGTTGTTAGCTGCCATGTGGGTTCTGGGATTTGAACCCAGGTCTTCTGCAAGAGCAGTCAGTGTTCTTAACCACTGAGCAATCTCTCTAGCCCCAGATTTATGTGCACTTGTATGTTTACCCATCAAATACAAAATTGGTTTGAATTCTATATAAGGCACTCTGGTGGGTGTTATTTCCACACAACAATGAATCCAAGCTGAGGGACCAGAACATTCCTAGAAACACTTAAAGCAGAGATGCTCCCGGATGTGGAGCTTAGGGCTTCAGCTATCAGAAGGGGTCATTCTCAGGCAAGATTATAAAGAATCTTCACTGGGATTGAATGAATCCTTTCATAAAATATTGAGCCTCTCATGCTCCACAGAGATGTGACTTTTCAGATGTTGCACCTGTTTAGCCAAACCCGAAAATGGCCTGGCAACCTGGAGCTTTCTGGGAGAAATCTTTCCATTGGGATGATCAGTGTGTTAAGTTTCACCATGTCTTAGCGGTAATAATCCTCTGGTTGGAGAGGCCTGTTCACTGCTTTGAGACATGCCCTGGGGTCTCGTTCTCCTTTCTCCAATTATTTCTGTCATGGCTGTAAAAGGCTTTTTGATGCTTCTTTTAAGAAATGCATTCCTGGAGTCTGGAGAGATGGCTTGGTAATTAAGAGTGCTGGGTGCTCTTGCAAAGGACCCAGGGCTATCCCCAGCACCCACATGGCAACTAACAACCGTCTGTAACTTCATTTCCAGGGGGTCCGACGCCCTCGTCTGGCCTCCACGAGCATCACTTGGTATGTGGTGCACACACATGCAGGCAGAACTCTTACACATAAATTGAAAAGAAACAAATGCAGGAAGGGTATAGGAGAAGCAGATGATCCCACTGAAGCGGGCTCAGGTCACTGCCCATTTGTGTTGGTTGGTTAGTTTTAAGGTGGCCCTGATGCAATGCTTCCTTAAAGCTAGAAGCCAGGCTATTTTTCAAGACTTCCTGTCAATATAGAGAAATGCTCAGCCCCCCTCTAGTGACATCCACATTGTTCTGAAGAAGAAAAGAGCTCTGGGGATCACAGATTGCAGATAGTGCTGTGTGGACTGAGGATGTAAGACGATCCAAATGAGACCGACACACAGGCTTCCCCAGGCTTTATTTACAAGTATTTCTTCTTTCAGGTGTTTTGAAGATTTTGAGGGGTTCTGTTCCTTTATTTGCCTGTAGGGCATCAATTCTCCTTTCCAACTGTTGTGTTATAAACCTGACTCCTGTCCTGTCCCTAGTGACTTTCACAATACAGCTAGAGTTTCACTTGAGTCTTTCATGTGCTTTAGAAATGAGCTACACTGAGGTGTTGTTAGAAACAACTGAACTTTGCTCTTTCTAATACAAATTTCAGTGAAGTGGGTATTCTGTCACGTGCTTTACAGAGTGATTCGTACAAAACCCCAAACAGACTCCTAAGGACACTATCTAAATTCTATTTCTCAAGAGTCTGCTGGGTTATCTACAGAGGGGGAAAGAGAATTAATGTCACATGAAATTTCACATCTTGGCTACATTTTCACTTGTGTTAAACTCGAAGCTCGGTGCTGTGTTCAGCAGGTCTTCTGCCGACACAGATGATTTTCTAAGGGTTCAACCGCTGTCTGTACCCTTTATTTGCTAGGCAAACTTAATAAATGGACCACTTTGCCTCTGGTTTTTGATTTTTGTAAATTATTTCACAGGAGTGGACTATGAAGTGAAAATCTAGAAGTAAAAGATAGGTCGTCTTGTCTACTGGCCATCTTCATAGAATTTCATACACAGGCACTGTGTTTGCATCATGTCCCCCATTCTCTTCCCCATCCAACTCCTTTGTGCCCCACCTCTCAAATTTGTGACATTTTCATGACATCTTCTGTAATTTTAGACATACACACATGTACACACACACACACAACTTACTGAGTACATTTAGTGGTGCTCAAGTGTAAGTATGCATCAAGTGTAAGTATGCGTGTTTAGGGCTGACCACTTAGGAGTACATGACCCATCGGGACATCCCTGGAGAAAACGGACCTCTGTCTCTACAGCTCTTCATCTAGGGAGATCCCCGCACTTGCTGCACCCCACCTTCCCAGAGCAGCCTCCCTTACCTACTGTGTCCTTTGCTTTCTCCTCCATCACCCTCTCCTCGACTGCATGCAGGGCCAGTACTGGAAGCCATCAACAGTCCCCACTCACGTCAACGAAAGGTACATACTTCACAAGAACTGGGCTCGGTTTTCCTATTTTTACAAGGAGCAACCGTTAGATTTGATTCGGTAAGTTTACCCAGCATCACACCAATTAAAACTTGGTGATGGCATTTCTTTATCCATGATGACACAGAGGCTGTTATCTTTACTGGTCAAAACTCAGTGTTTAGCTGTGCAGGAATCATTCCAACTCCTGCCTTGTACCAGGGGCATAAACTTGGTCAAGGTACTGAACGGCTGTGAGGTTCACAGTTAAAATGAAAGGACTTAGCTCTTTCCTCTTATGTCAGTTGCTCATTCACTGTGATATGAATACATTTTAGTAGAAGAACTTGCAGTTGGAGCTCAGTCCTTATTTTGTTTTTCTATAAGAGTACAACAATTAGACTAAAGGAAATATACAAGAGTTTGTATTGGCCTCAGAAAGCTGTAAAGCCCTTGGTTCTTTAAAATGTGTGTGAAATGGATGCCCAGTAAGAGAGCCAAAGGGCATCTTATTTTGATAACTTCTCTGAATAT